CACTTGGAGGAGCCGCAGTCCGGACGCACCAGGAGCCTGCAGCAGTACATGAAGGTAAACACATTCACGTCACTGCAGTGCAGGTCCCACAGCTGGCTTGACCACGGTGTTTTACTCACTCAGTCATTGTGTGAGAGTTGGCAGCCCTTCAAAGCCTAGTTACCGTTAATAGTCAGTGGTTTTATAGTTGCTGCTTGGCAACAGCTTCTGTGAATGTTCAGTTTCCTAGTTTGTTCTCCCTCTGTGTTTCTATCTTAATTTAAATTTCCCTTTTTGACCCAGGAGTTACAAGAAGAAGGCCAGGTGGTACAAGTTGGAAGTTTGGGCATCCGTTGGGTGCTCATGCAGTACGCTGATCCATGGCTGCTGACTGTGAACGCAAAGCAATGGTCCCAGTCTCGCTTAACATCCAACAAACTTCCCTTTTTGGAGAAGCAGCACAACATCCCCTTCATGCGCATGAGAAATAGGCGAGAGGTCCGACATGACCCGGAGGAACCACCTGCAAAAAAAAGGGCTGTTGACAGAGGAGAGGGCAAGAACAGACGGGCTGTGGAGGGGTTGTCAGGTGATGTAGCAAGAGAGAAACTGAATGAGGAAGAACAGCTGAAGAAGCAGAAAGAGAGGGTGGATGAGGGAGGAAAGCAGATGCAGCCGGAAGAGGGACGAGAGGAAGAGGCAGGACGGGAGAAGGTAGAAACTGAGGAAAGACAAGAAGAAAAGAAAGATCATGAAGCCACAGTGGACGGTAGAGATGATGAAAGAGATAAAGAAGCTTGCTCTTCACCAACAAGTCCTGCTGTAGGCGATAATGAGTAAGTACAAACTCTCTTACTGAATCAGTTACGCATTTTCCTTTCCTGTGTATCATCTTTATCTTCTTTCTGTTTCCAACCTCTAATCCTTACAGTGAAAATGTGAGTTTCATCAGCCGGCCGTGGCGCATGGTCGACGGTAATCTGAACAGACAGGTGTGTAAAGGCATGCTGGAGGCCATTCTGTACCACATCATGTTCCGACCCGGACTCACACAGCAGTCACTGGTGGAGCATTACAAGGATGTGCTGCAGCCGATGGCGGTGCTGGACCTGCTGCAGGTAAATGGAAAGTGGGAAATTCAGCAAGTACTCTGCAGTCTGATCTCGAGTGCACAGCTTATGTTTACTTGGTTTGTTTACAAGATGTAATAGAAGTTCACATTTAATGTGTTCAATATGGACAGAGCGCTCCGATGTTTCATCATGCGACACGATATTTGGACGCTTTATTGCTGTTTGGACACAGCGTCCGTGCCAAGTCTCTTAAATTACTGCTAGTTATCTTACCTAGCCGACTTTGCTAGCTGGCGTTACTATGGGTACATCCCAAGTCTCATTATATTTGCTGACCAAAACAGTAGCCCCCACCCTCCGCTGTCATGACTCTGGTCACACACTTTTGCATGTAGCAGCCGCACATCACCGACAGTCCGATGAACAACGCAACGGGTTGTGACTGAAATAAACCTAATTGCAACATAACAATCTTGCATGAAATATCATTACTCTTTGAAGTAGGTACGTGAATTACAGTGATTCATTGCAAAGAATGCATGTAACGGGTACTTACTCTTGTACTGTTTCTCCGCCATCTCGTTCAAATGTGCCAGATGTAGAGGGCGGGTATTTATACATCATGGCGTTGAGCTGAAAAACTCTTCCGGATAGGAAGCTCTCAACCATTCTAGCTCGTAGCTGCTTCAAGCTTGCTGGTAGCTCCTAGCGCTAGCTCCTCGCTGCACAAATAAGAGACTTGGGACGGCCTAGAAGATGGCGGACCTCGAACGACTTCCGGTTCAAGCAAGGAGCTAGCAGTAGCACTATAAAAATAAGAGACTTGGGATGGACCCACAGTGTCATTGTTTTCCACTGGGGAGAGGGGGCTGAGTCAAGTGGGACACCTAGTGGTAAAAATTGGTATACCTGTCCAGTTCAGCACATGACTTAATATCAAACCAGTTTGAAAATTTTTACACCAGCCCAGCTCTAGCGTCAGTGTAATGTAATATTATTTAATGTAAAAGCAGAATATTTTCTCTGGTTTTGCGGCTGATATATCACCATCACTGCCTCTTCCCCAGGCGCTCATCGACATTGGCTGTGTGACAAAGAAGACTCTGGCTAAAACTCCTAAACCCTCGCTGTTCGCACACTCCATGCCCCAGACAAGCAGTGAGACAAAAGTGAAGATTGAGGACCCGGGCATGGTGTTTTATGAGCCCACCATCAGTTGCTGCCTGCGGCTCTGTCAGATGTTACCAAATGAACGTCACTGGAACTGTTGCCTCCCGTGAAAGTAATCACAGATGTAACTTTGCCTGACCTGGTATCACATCAGGTATATAATAAGGTGTTGATGTTTTAGCTTTAGTTGTAGTTGTAGCAGTGATCGGACTGTTGGGATAAACCTAAATACTGTTATTCTACACAAAGTTTCTTGTGAGCAGGTTCTTACTTCTGGTTTTACAGAACGTGTATTTTTTTTGTATATTTTTTTTTTTGGTCTTTGAATTAAATTCAGTTTTGTGTCCCCATTTTTGTATCTCAGAATGATTTATTAATGTAATGCATTACACTACATTTCTGACTTATAGTTGCCGTGCAGATAAGTGGGCATGTTTGGTAGTAAAATTTCACTACAGTGAAAAAAACAGCCTTAAAGGGACAGTTCACCCCAAAATCAAAATTACATGTTTTACCTTTTACCTGTAGTGCTATTTACCAATCTAGATAGGTTCTGTGTGAGTTGCCGAGTGTTGGAGATATCAGCCATAGAGATGTCTGCTGTCTCTCAAATATAATGGAAGTAGATGGCCCTCAGCTTGTGGTGCTCAAAGCTCCAAAAAATACATTTGAAAAATGTCCAGTTCCAAATTTGATGAGAGGTTCCCTGGTCTTTACTGCAAGAATACAGAAGATCTCAGGCAGCCAAATGTGGTGTCAGTGAATTCCAACATGATTGTGACACTGAGTCCCATCCTGTTTTTCATACAAAGAATCCCTGAAGTTGGTTTTCTTTGAGTCAAACTGGAGCTGTTTGCTGTCCTGCGTGAAGCATTCAGGATGAGATTCAACACCTCAAAGTCTGAGGCCATGGTACTCTGAAAAAAAAAAAACAGAGGGTAGTTTTCTTTGGGACGGGAACAAGAACTGCTGGGCATTATTTATATCTAGATGTCGACTAGATGTCGTCTTAGACTTTTGGAGGCGGTAATATTGTAAATGTTCCAAGATGGTGACGGCCAAAACGCTGAACTTAAGGCTTCAAAACAGGAGTCCACAAACCAGCTGGTGACGTCACGGTGGTTCTATTTTTTTTTTTTTTTAGGGAGTCAGAATTGACCATATTTGGTAAGAGGCTGGAGCTGTGGTGGAGTGAGGGATGGATCTGACTGAGAAGTCAAGGACACTATCAGAAGACAGTCTGTCACTCAAAGCAGCCTTCCCTTAATTATGCCTAAATTTAGTTGTAATAAAATGTAAGTGGGTGAGTTATATATAAAAATTTACCCCCGTACAGTTTTCATGAACGGGGAAATTAAATACAGAGACCAAAACCACGGTGTAAATGTATATTTCTATGTAAGGTTGGGCATTTTAACGTGTCTACAGAGATTCATTAGTTTACAAGTACAAAAACAAAAGGGAAGGCTAACATTGTGTAGCTTCAGTACATATTTATACAAATCTCCCATACATATAACATGTCAGCTGAGGATCTGTGTTTGCTCATGTCTGCAGAGCCTGTTTTTGTAGCCAGGTTGCCTTATTAAGCAGTTCAGATGGTTTTGTAATCACGAACATGTAGCAATATCCTCCAATTCCCTGAACACACAAGTCAGTTGAAGTCAGACTCTGTATGACACATCGTACTGTTCCCATTGTGTCCCTCTGCTGCTCTTTCTCAAGCACTCACACCTAAATATCTCCTAGATTGCTCCTGTGATGTGGAACTCTGCCTTCAGGGCTGAAACATAATAAAATAATGCAGTTGGCAGTGTGTAAGTACTGATAAAGTGTGAATGAAAGACCTGTAGAGTGGTACTTGAATATGTCCAGTATTCATGGAAGTGCTGTCAGGAAACTGGGCGATAAAGATCACCAGGAAGCTGAGGAATGTTTGCTTACAGCTCTGCACTCAAAACGGTTTCCACATTAGATATGAGTACAAAACTTCCTCCACTTGAAGTTGCAAACTTTCAGTTTTGTTCCTCATGTTTAGACCTACAGATATTACGTGCAAATATCACTATATCTGTACCTGTGGTTACTTGGTGGTAACTTATTCAGTGAGGATCCTTAACTGGTGTAATAACCCAGAGTAAGACGTGAGGAAGGGTGGTGCAAATTGCTCTTTTTTTCTCTCCACGCCTGTCATCTGTGAGCATGCATCCATGCATTTCCTGAGGTTAATAGCCAGAAGGTTTACCCAAATACAGATACATTGAAATTTTTGGCTCCAAGGGTGTGTTACCCAAACTCAAATAGACATTTTGTTTTAGATTTCTGTCGCCACTTCATTAGGCTACAAAGGAGGTGAATTAAGTTTTGCATGTGGATCTCAAAACACTGAACACAATTTAAACAATTTTTCTTTCTTTACTTGATCTTAAATATTGAAGTATTAGTGGTAGATATAGATTTGTATTTTGTGAATTATTTATCTTATGTGATCTTATGTGTGTGTGTCTTTTATTCCATTTTTCAAGTTGTGCTGCAAGAGCATTTCTTTATTGTGCTTTTCTCACAGGCCTTCCTTGGATTGGCCTCAAATTTACTGCCCTGAAGCGCAACTAATTCAAGCTCAATAAATGTTCTACTTTAGATGTATTTAACCTCTTTAATAGGCTTCAATAAGATAACAGAGGTAACACACAGATAATGTTAAGTCTCTGAAATGAATACGCAGCAGTGTAGGGAGGAGGATTGTATAAACCTGCACCGCCTCTGAAAGCCGTTAACTACACAGTGCCACACTTTCACTTTTAAGTCTAACAAGTTGACTGTGGAAAAATTTAGAGAGGATGTGTGGTGTGAGAAAAACAGGCTGTGCTGCCAACATTGTTCGACTATAGTAGAAGACCAAAATAACGGACACAGTGGACTCATTTGCTTTCCAACCACTGTTGGATTCAACGTTTAATGACTTTTATTATTTGTACTACAAAAACACTAACTGGGAATAATGTTTTTCCGTTGGATTCTACTGGTTGTCTCTTTGACGAATTTCCTGTGGGACTTTTATGTGTCCAGTTGTGGTAAGTGAAGAGTTTTCTGTCTGAAGTTATCTTACAAAAGGGTTTTATTGTCATCAGACTATTCCCTGTATACGTTAAATTAGGATTTCACATGATTGTTCCAAAAACAAATGCACTTATACTGTAGAACTCTGCTAATCTTAGTCCAGCAAACTCAGAAACACCTTTATAACTTGGGACATACTTAAATTTGAAAGGATTTTCTAGTATTTTATTATGTTTTTATGTTTTTTATTATGTTTTCACACTCACTCACACCAGTGCATTTTAATTATGATACCGAATGCCATATATATCCTCATACTCACTTAGACATACTCAACAACCTTACTTTTATGTTCCCAAAACTAATGAAGAAATTGGCAGATGTGCCTTTAAATTTAAAGCTCCCTCTGATTGGAATAATTTGCTCATCAACATAAGAACATTTAACTCACTGCTATTGTTGTTATTGTTGTTGTTGGTGGTGGTGGTAGTTTATTGATGCTCCCGGTGTATTGTGGCATATACAGTACATCCCTTTTATTATGCAAGGGTATTGCGAGCATGAGGGAAGGATGTTGGGGTGGTTTGATAAATGAGAGCTATGTATTTTTGTTTTATGTTGTGATTGTGTCCATTGTAATGAAGTGTGTTGTGTGTTTTGTGTCAGACCCCCTTCAAAACAAGATGGTTCATCTTTAGAGGCTATCCACTAATATACTTTGTTTAAACTCCCCAACACTGATCATCATCATAACTGTTATTAGTATTTATTTGATCAGAAACAAGTAAATATCTTCGGTAAATACAACATAACTATGTCATGTAATATTATAATGTGTTAAAGGTTTTTAGTAGTCTATTGAATGACAGATTTAAGTGCTTTGCTAATTTCACACTGAGCTGTCCAAAACCTCAACCTGTAATGTCTGTGTTACAGATGAGAACTGTGCAGATAAACCTGAGTTCACTCCCTCCATACTGGTTGTCAAGTTTGGTGACCCGACCTCTGCCAGCTGCTCTGCATGTCAGCATGACTGCATAGGCCACATTTTTAAAATCGAAAGCAATTCAGGAAAGACAGAAACAAGCGGGACCATGATTACATGGATGGTCAACAGGCTGACTGAGTGGGACGCATCACCCTTGTGCTACTATACCATTCCTCAAGCCCAGTGTTGTACCACCCTGCCTGTGACTGTCTACAGTAAGTAAACAAAAAACTTGCTGGTGATGATTTAATTATTTATAATTAACAACGTGTGTACGTTTAGGTGGTTTATATTCTCTCATCTTGTTACTGAATGTGTGTCTGTCTCTCTGTTTGTCTCCACAGAGCCTCCAGACAATGTGTCCATCAGCTTTGATAATCACATTGGGCCAATGTTTGAGGGTCACCAGTACACTCTGCAGTGTACAGTGGAGGAAGTCGCTCCTATTGAAAACCTCACTGTGACTTTTTATAAAGGACAAACAACACTGGGTCAACTTCATTCTGAAAACATCACAGAGAAGAAACCAGTGACTGAGACCTTCACTTTAGACATCACCCCCAGTAAAGAAGATGATGGAGCCCAGTACTGGTGTGAAGCAAAGCTGGAACTGGGACCTGCAGGACCACAGCCCCCTCCAGTGGTGAAGTCACAAAAGATCCCAGTCACTGTGTACTGTGAGTACGACAAGGACATCAAAACAAGCACATGACCACAACACATTAGTGTCAAATTGTTGATCTTTGGCTGTCCTGTTCTCTCATTGGTACAACTCATATTAAATGTCCAGTGTGTAAGATTTAGGGGGATTTAGGGGGATGCAGTGTTTATTGTTCAGGAGCTGAATTATCCACAGAGGTCTCTTTCTCTTCATCATGTCAGAGATGTGCCGCTATCCCAGCACCTGCTACTGTGTGCTCATTTCCTTTCTCTGAGAACTGAAGATCCGGCTGTTCAGGAAACTTTAGAAGGAGTTGAATTATTCGCAGATGTTTCTTCCTCTCCAATATAAACTGACCAGGGGTCTCATTTATAAAACAATGCGTAGGATCAATACTAAAAATGTGTGTACAGACAAAAGCCAAAAATAGCATGTGCCAAAAAATATTTGACAGTTTCTACAATCAGGCCTCCACCTCACCATCTGCATCCAGCGCTCGACAGTCCGAGCGTTTCACTCGCATTTGCGACTAAATATAGGTGTGTGCCAACTGTAAAAAATATTTAGGGGCACATGTGCGCTTAAAAAAAAAACAGCCAAAGCAGCCTGTATTTTTGTCATTAAAAAAATATGATAATCTAACCGCAAATGTTGGAGGAACTCCAGCTGCCTTCCCTCTTCCCCATGTGACACGTTTATGGGCGGTTTTCCAAGCCACTGTCGGCACAATGAATATAAGTCCCACTGTCAGCAGGGTGGAAATAAGTCAAAGTGTGGAGGAGACGGACTGGGTTAAGCGGCGGACCTCCGGGGAAGCCTGCTCCGTTCTCCCTGCAGTTAGGGACCGTTCTCCACGGCCAGGCTGTCGGCTGGGTGGGAATAAGTCAAAGTGTGGCGGAGACGAGGGACCGGGAAAGGCGGCGGACCTCCGGGGAAGCCTGCTCCGTTCTCCCCGCAGTTAGGGACCGTTCGCCACGGTACCGCTGCTGGGCAGGGTGGAAATAAGTCCTGCAGAGTTTCAGAGGACCTGGAGAATGTTTTAGGATAGTAATAACATTATATAAGATAATCATATTACAAAGATAATATATATAAGATAATAACATTAAAGACAAAATTAAATTGCGATACTTTTTCAAAACGACGATGACGATTTTACCTTTCTGTACATTTTGTATACAAATTCATTAAATAATTTTGCTTGTAAATGTCTATTTGCATCACGTTTATTACAGAAAACACATTATTTGATCAATTTACATTGTGCCCCTGAAGTTCTTTGTGCACTCCTTACTTTTTCAACTTAGAGCACATGTGCTCCTTGGGAAAAAAGTTAGCGTCAAGCCCTGGCATCACCAATTTCCTGTCTCCAAAATGTTCGTAAGCATGGGTCAGAGTTTCCCACATCAAGCTTGTTTTAATAGATCACAACTTTTGCGTGGGAGGTGGCATGCGCCTCTTTGAGGCCTCATTTTGTGCGTACACGATGCTTATAAATAACACCCCAGGTGATTAAAATCGATAAAAACATGGAATTAAGCAGATTCACATCAAAACAATAGATATTTTTCCAATGCTTTTGTCACGGAGGAACTGCTAACTATGGTGGCTAATGCCATAACTGTGACAATGCAAATGGCCCTATCTAGAGCCAGTGCTTGGTTTGTTCATTCTGGGCTACTGTACAACATGGCGGTGCAACATGGCGATCTCCATGATGAGGATCCACTTCCTGTGCAGTTAGAAATGACTGATTCTACCAAAACACAGCAATCCTTATTTCTAGGTGATTATACACTAAAGACAACATACCAATACTTTTCATATTATTTCATTTCTGACAATATATTCCCCTAAATCCTTCACTCTGGACCTTTAAAGGAATAGTTAAACATTATTTGGAAATACGCTCATTTGCTTTCTTTCCAAGAGTTGAATAAGAAACCCAAACCAGTCTCATGTCTGAAAGGTTAATGTGAAGCTACAGCCAGTATCAGATTAGCTTAGCGTAGCCTAAAGACAGGAAACAGGGGGAAACAGCTTGGCTCTCACCTAATGCTCATAAAGACAGCGAGTAAGTGCATTTCCAAAAATGTCAAACTATTCCTTGGATGGAAACTTCTGTAACAAAAGGCTCCCAGTCAAACAGTGTCTCTCTGAGTTTTAATATAACACTTGAGACACAGTCACGTCTTATTCTTCCAGTAGCTTTTTATACATTCCTGTATGATTCTAGTATCTTTCTGTAGCTGTATTCCCATAACTGAGGTCATTTCTTATCGCTGCCCTTCGAATTGTTAATAACTGTCCAAGCTGCTGACACTCGGGGGGCACTTTGTCAAAATTTGCCTCCTTGGATGCAGCTGTTGTGCACCAGTGATGACATGTATTACAGTGTTGCTGGCCCCTTTTTACATTTTATAACAATTTAGGAAACACAGGCAAGGTCACCCAGGCACAGACAACGATTTGAGAAAACACGGGGCAAGAGGCGTTCTCTGATAATGTGATGGGCAGAAAACAGACTTTTGCAAATGATTCAGATTGCCGACTCAGAAAAACACATTTAAGGAGGCGCTCACAGTAAAGTAAAACAGTGCTATCTGCTTTGTTTGCCTGTTGGGTTTTTTTTTTTTTGGTGAAAAAGTCAGTAGCAATCTGTAAGAACGTTATACATTTATTCTACATTAAGTATAAAAACTGCAAACTATAACGGTTATTTAATTAAAGGAATAATTCCTTATCTTAACTGGTATGTTTGTCATTTACAGATTTGCTTTGATGATTGCTGGTTATGTGCATGTTGTCATGTGTGATGAGACAATGTGATATACGCTAATTAGTGTAGACACAAAATCTGGCACTGGGGCAACCATTACTACATACACCACTGGAGCACATGTTATGCTCAGAATTCATCAAACACAATAGCACATGATTACATAATCAGTGTGATCTTAAAAATGTTTGGTATTCAAATTTTTATCACAATGACCATCTGTTTACTTATCTGTTTTTAAGCCTGTTTTTTCCTTGTCAATTACAGCTTTTGTGTTTCTCTCTGTCTCTCTTCACTCACTCAACACACAGATGAGCCTCAGATAGAATCATCTCCTGCACATACGATCACCATCACAGAGGGAGACCCTCTACAACTGAACTGCTCAGCTGTGGGAAACCCCAGCCCCTCGTACACCTGGACACTCCCATCGACTCACTCTTCCTCCCTCAATAGCAGCATTTTCACTATCGACTCTGTAACTGCTGCGGATGAAGGGCCGTACAACTGCTCTGTCAGCAACATCATGGGGAATGTCACTGTGAGGTTCAGAGTGGTCGTCCAAGGTGAGTTCTTCCTACTTGCTTTACTTAAACCTCTGAATCGACTCTCTTTGCAGTCGACTACATGCTTGTTTTAAAAACGCCCTGACAGCATGGTCATCATCATGATATGCAAATGTGGATATTCTTAGTACATCATTTGTTAGACTTAAAAAGCTAACTTTCGGTAATAGTTTAAATGAAATGCTAAATTCATGTTACAGTGCTGTATGTGCAGAGTCTTAGGATTATGTGACACTATGAAGCCCCAAAGCTGACAAAATGATTACATGGCTTAAAAAGACAGTGCACCAATAAATAATACTGTTAGTTAGATAATTTAATGGAGTGGACATTTTTAAATTAGATAAATCAATTTTACTTTCACTGTCTCATTTTATTTTTGAACTAGTTTTCAGATTTTATTATTTTTTCTTTTTTGTCCGTTTGGTTTTGTTTTGTCTTACCAATCATTAATCATGTTTAATTTCCAACTTTAACCACTCAACAGTTCCCATTTTCTTCACCACATTTCTAATTTTCTATGATAATAAGATGAGCATTTCCATGTATGCCAAAGGTGAGCAAAAGAAAATCGGAAATGTGGTGAGCACATTGGATTGTGTTGATAAGATACATGATAAACCGTCTGCAAAGATGGGAATGTAAATAAAGTGTTATTTTTATCAATTTTATCAATTTATTTATTTAGAAAAAAACCTTTCTCATTTTAACCAGCTGGAAAAAATTTAAAAATGTATATCACTTCTTACAGTCTATTTTAATCGTCTAACACACAGTACTATTTGAAAACTGTTTACTGCCTTTTGGCAGTTGCAGGGCTCCGTATCATGTCACCAGCAATATGAGCTAAATGTGATCATGTAAAGACGTCCCATCACTGGGATCAATACTGACCAATCAAACCTTACATGGTTGATGTCTTCATTCTTCAGTTCTTCATTTAAAGATGTTGACTGACCGAATCACAAATCAGCTGTCTATTTGTCCCTAGGTTTAACCACAACCACACTGCCAACAACAACTACAACAACCGCAACAACCGCAGCCACCACAACAACCCCAAAGCCAACAACCACCCCGAACAGTGCCACCACCAGCAGCGCACTGCTTCACAGGTTCATAATGTGTTTCATGCTTTTATTCTCTACTCTGGTTTGAGTTATTTCCCAAAGAGGTAAAATGAGGTTTGTTTGCTAAAACAATAACATATAATATTTTTGCCACTAAATAATATAATTGGGCAGTAAAAGGCATTTTTACATGTCACATCTGATCTCTATACAGCCAGTTCTCCTAAAGGTCCAGCATGTAGGATTTAGTGGCATCTAGTGGTGACGTTGCAGAACTGAAACCTTTTCCATGTGCCAAGCATGTAGGAGAACGAAACACGTGAAAACACGTGAAAACACGCAAACGTGAACAGCCCTATCTAGAGCCAGTGTTTGGTTTGTCCCTTCTGGGCCACTGTAGAACAACATGGCAGACTCCATGGGAGAGGACCTGTTCTCTGTCTAGATACAAACAGCTCATTCTAAGGTAAGAAAAACACAATTGTTGGTGAAAACACTGTTATGAATATTATATACCATGTCTGTCAATAGATGCACCTAAATCCTACACACTGGACCTTTAATACATTAGAAAGCAGCCTGTTGTGTGAGAACACTTACTTATTACAACTGATATTGAACTACTAGAAGACATTATCTTGTAACTAAGCAGTGATTATAATTTGTTGTTTTCTGCATACACAGAACATAGATTGAGAATATTTTATTGGCAATGAAAAAACAGTAGGATAGTCTACAACCATGCTTTACTTATTGGCAACTTGGGCACAGTTAGTTGTGCTTTGAGCTAGATGCTAACTACAGCATGCTAACATGCTCACAATGACAATGCTAACATGTTTAATTGTTGCAATGTTTACCATGTTTGCTATCTTAGTTTAGCATGTCAGAATGATGAAATTTGCTAACTGACCCTTCACTACGTCGACCTGACCGTCGGTTAGCTGCAAGGGAAGTCAAACAACATTCATCTACACACACTGTAATGACACACAGCTGGTTGAATAGCAGCAAAGTTTCCCTGCTTCCCTTCACTGGTTCCTGTACAGCAGGGTCGGTCTTTGTTTCACTGTTATAATCACTAAAAAGCAAAAGCAGCATGTGTATACATTCAGTAGGCTATATCTTCAGTAGCTAGCTAGCTAACCCTACACTTTTCAGGGTTTGATTTAGGTTTTGGAACAGGGAAGAAACGTATATCTTTTTCCAACCTCTCCAGGTAACGAGTATCATTAATACACGACGTGCGCCAGACACAACATTTAGCTCCAAATCCACAAAACCAGCCTGAAAATGAAGGAAATCTGAAACGACTGCATTAGAGTCAATGGAGCACAGCTGTGTTGTTGTCGGACCCTGGTCTGAGCCGGCCCAATGCTACGTTGTGATTGGCCAGTGTGCGTCCATTTAGCGAAGGGTCAACTAGCATAAAACTTGAAGTAGGCTGACAGCTGAGGCTGATGGGAATGTCATTAGTTTTGCAGGTATTTGGGCACAATGGAGAAGTTTGCCTCCAGGGCATTCTGTCAGAAATCATTTAATTTTAACCCAAACCATAATGTGGTTTAACCCAAAACACAATTTTAAAAAATGGCTTTCTAGCAGAAACGTCTCCCAACAGCAGCAGGCTTATTTGGTCATAAACCACAATATTGGACAAGTTGTAATTTTTACCTGATGATGGCGCTAGATGAAAAGTCAGTGGGTCACCACAGCCTACAATTAATTCTTAGGGAAACATTAATGTCTGTAGCATTTTTTTGCCAATCAATGTTGAGATATAGAGGAAGCGTCAGAGAGTCACCAAAGTGATTTGGACTGATCAGTCTGTACCAAATTTCATCTGAATCCAACCAAAAGTTATTGAAATTTTAAGTCTGGACAGAAGAGGTGGACCAACCAACAGAATAACATTCTTCAAGCAACGCAGCGAGCATGGGTAAAATCTTGTTTTGTTTTGTTTATGTAAATCTTTGACCTCTCCTAGTGGTTCCACTGAAATACACTCAACTGGATGTTACATCAAAAGGAGCACTGTAAGATGAACTTGCACTTGAACTTTCACTTTCACTTGGACTGTCTTTTTTTTTTTTTTAACAAACCAAGACTTGTGCCTTGAAATAATTTGAAAGATGCTTGTAATCACAGAAAACACACACTAGCTTTAATAGCAGTTTTTTTTAACCATATGCTCATGTACCTCAGTAATTCACTGGAATAAAGATTTTAATTTAAATGAATTCTTCTTTATTGATTCAAGATCACACTGTAGACATACAGTATATATAGGAATTTGATCAAAATTCAAGCTTCAAAATTTGATATCATTTTAAATATTTAACACTTTTTGATACTCGGTGCAACAGAAATTTTAATCAGTTGTCAGAATGTACTGATGTTAAATACCCATAAACGTTTTCCACCACAGTTTTATACCTGTGAAGAGTGCTTAAAAACACAATTTAAACCTTCATATAAGTAAGGTTAACTAGATAAATAAAATTGTTTATGTCATTGCCATATTTTTTCATAGCTTTTTATGTTATAAATATTTTATAAATATTTTCATACATTATGTTTGTGTTTTATTCAGTCAAATGCAACAAAGTGCATCGGCTGTCAAATATGAATAAAACTGGAGTGAACTTTTACTCTCAGGTCAAACTTTCAGTCAAAGCATAACTTGAGTGCAGCTACACAACTTTCTCCAAGCCCATTTCCTCTTATTGAAAGTTTGAACTACTCCCAGCTCCGACGGGGGGAAAAATAAACAGGATTTTGCTCTTGTTCCACAGTTTTGTTCACATACTGTGTGTTTCACAGCATATAAGGCTTTCTCTATTATTATCAGTGAGTACATCATCTAGGCTACATCATGACTTCCACGAAACTGCAAATGAAAATATCAATAAATAAACAACAATCCAAAAGGATACATGAGGTAAATGACGCAGCAGGAAGACATACAAGCATAAAAACAATTTAAGAAGGAGGTTCTTAGAGTAATGATTGCTTATACAGGCAGACATCCTGAAAGCAGCAGTGAGAATTTGACTGCTAAAATGTGCTCAGGTAAGTTCAATATGCTCAATCACATTAAGAATTACAGACACTATGCAGCAATGGGTCGGGGCACTGTGAGGAGCAAGTAGAAGAAAAAAACTTTCCAAACCAGAAATCATTAAACCTTGAAAAAGGTCTTTGAAATAATGTGTCTAACAGTACTATGCCGGAGTGTCTATCCATCCATACATACATCCATACATTTTCATCTGCTTCTACCGGGCCGGTCATGGGGGCAGCAGGCCAAGCAAAGCACACCACACGTGCCTCTCCCCAGCAACGCTTTTCAGCTCCTCCTGGGGGACCCAAAGGCGTTCCCAGCCCAGATGAGATATGATCCCTCCAGTGTGTTCTGGGTCTGCCCCGGGGCCTCCTACCGGTGGGACGTCCCTGAAACACCTCCAGCAGGGGGCACCGAGCAGGCATCCTGATCAGACGCCTGAACTACCTCAACTGACCCCTTTTGACACGAAAGAGTGGCAGCTCTACTTTGAGCTCCCACCGGAAGTACCCTGTCGCTATGGCTGAGCCCAGCAACCCCACGGAGAGAACTCATTTCGACCGGAGTAATAAATGAGGTGACTTTACATAACAACCTGTACAACCACTTGGGTTGTGATAACTGTCCCTGCCAGGTAAACCATTATGTCCCTTTGTACTGAAATGCAAGTGGTATATTCTATATTTAAAACACCAACCAGGTCTATGCTTGTCCAGCCTAGAGTACTGTAGAAAGTGATGAGGTTTTCCATGTTCACCTTCTTCCTCAAATCTAAACTCAACCCTCTGGACCTTAAATACCCATTTTTGTCTATTTTTAGGAGGGGGATTTTGGGGGGAGATAGCATGTCAACAGCAGATGCCACATAGACAATATGAAATCTGGGAACGTGAAGATTAATGTGAGGGTGAGGTGTAGCTCAGCTCAGTTAACCGGCGCCTAATGATGTAACCAGATAGATACAATGACAAGTGGGTCATTGTAAGCTTTCATTCATTGTCTATTCATTCATTAATTTATTTTTTTGTAACCGCTTGTCCTGCCAGGGGTCACAGGGGCCTGGAGCCTATCCCAACTGACATTGGGTGAGAGGCAGGGTACGGCCTGGACAGGTCGCCAGACTATCGCAGGGCTGACACATAGAGACAGACAACCATTCACACTCACATTCACACCTACGGACAATTTAAACTCACCAATTAACCTGCATGTCTTTGGAGTGTGGGAGGAAGCTGGAGTACCCGGAGAGACACGGTGAGAACGCACAGAAGGGCTCCCCCAACTTAGGTTTGAACCAGGAACCCTCTTACTGTATGGCGACAATGCTAACCACCATGTGAAGACAGACATTGCCACATTAGCTGGAGGTTAAAATGCTGTCAGGAAAGGGATTATTTTTTTAACTGGTCCTATAAAACACAAGCTACTCAAACTGACTGCATAAAAACATCTGTATTCTCCCGTCAATTTCATCATTGTAATTACGTTCATAAGTTTAACATGCGACATATGACTAAAGTACATGACCTCAGTGAATGACGTTCAGGTCAGACAGCAAAGTGTTGTAACTCTTATGAATTCCCCGCTTCGGGTCAGCTTCCTCTCAGTAAACCTCAGCTGATTTACTTCTATGTTTCACTTCATCTTCGCAGAATGGAGAACTTGTTTTTAAATAAACTCAGCTCAAGTGCATTAATTCATTTTTGAGTGTAATTTATATCTAAATATACTGTAAACATCTATAAACACTGTCATGATGCCTTGAGGCCTAAATTGTCAGTTACATCAAACATGTTACCTTAATTTCAGTAATGACAAAATGAAAAGGCTACTATGCCAATGTAAAATATGGAAAGATAAAACAGTCAAGCGAGTAAAGTGAGCACTGCCATCAAACAGAGAGGTGTAATTCAATGAATCTGGAGGAGGTAATGGAGTCAGACATACACAGGGCCGGCTCCTGGTTCAGCCTGTCTCTGTTTATGTTACGTGCGAGACTGTTATGTCTCACCATCTCCTGCTAAAACTATCATACCATTTACTGGAACATGACCAACCCTAAGCCTAAAACATGCAGAGACAAGCTTAAAAAAGTCAATGAGCAATGAAATGACACTAAGATTAGTCAGTGTTTTGTGTAGCAACTGACTGTTGTACCCGAGGTAGGTTTTGTTTCAACACTGGAGGGGACAGGCAGATGAAACTGAGGATTTGGAGGTCCTCCACCAGAAATTTTTGAGCATCAGACACTTCATTTTTTGCATTCTAGTGAATTTTTATGACACGTTGTGTCTTTTCTGCATCAATTTATGGTGTAAATGTCTTTAATTGTGTCAAAGTAAAAGTCCTCTGTTATTTTCCCCTGCATCCTCCCTGAAATCATTATCTATGCAAGGTACAGTATGCCTGTTTTATTCAGATCAGAGCTTATTTACAGTATGAACTGATATAATAGTAACTTTATTCATATAGCACCTTTAAAAGCAGAGTTTACAAAGTGCGTTGACAAACAAAGGCAAAAGCAGAAATGGGATACTCAGAAGGCAATATAGCAACAGAAAGCCAAACAGTCCTACAAGACATAAGCGAGACAAAGCTAGGGTAGAGATAAGACAAAGTTAAAACAAGAGGACAAAATATGCAGGATGCTAAATGTCTATATAGATAAATAAATAAAAAGGCTAAAAACAACAAAAGCAATAAAAATGACTAAATAAAAAGGAAATTAAATGAATAAAAAGACAATATCACATAAAAGCAAGTCTGTAAAAATGGGTTTTAAGAAGTGATTTAAAAGAAGTCCCTGATTCTGCAAGCCTTATCTCTTCAGTCAGGTCGTTCCAAAGCCGAAGGGCCCTGATGGCAAAAGCATGATCACCTTTAGTTTAAAGCCTCGACTTTAGGACAGCCAGAAGGGCCCACCTGAGGATCTGGCTGCAAACTAGCTCATATTAGGTCAACATTTTGGCTATTTAGCTTGGGGCCAGATGAGCTGTAAAGGTGATCAGTAAAATCCAAAAATCAATTCTAAAATGCACAGGAAGCCAGTGGAGAGAGATCAGCATTGGGGTGATGTGATGTCATCTGCTGCTGCATTCTGAACTAGTTGGAGGTGGGAGAGTAACGCGAATCCAAACACCCCCCAACAGAGGGGGGACCAAGAATGTGGGTGACATGGTTGGTACCATCAACAACTTTTAATTGTGGAAACGGAAGAAAAGCGCACCGAACTGAACTGAACTGAACCGTACCATACTGCTCGGTGGAAACAGGGGTATGGAGAAGCAACGTTTAGTTTTTATGCTCCACATATCTGGAAAAAAATCCCAGAAAACTGCAAGTCTGCACCAACTCTCACTTCTTTTAAATTAAGGTTGAAGACTTATCTGTTTTCCGCTGCCTTTTATTAAATGAAATATTTACTCATTTCTTACACTGCACTGTAAATTTTATTATTCAAGAACTTTTATTGATTGACTGCAACTTTATTAAAATCAATTTATTATTATTATTATTATTATTATTATTATATAAGTGTTTTATCTCTGCACCTCTTGTCTGCACTTTTGCTATTTTTAATGGTGATTTTTTTTAAAAATTGTAAATCATTTAGAATTAAATTTACCTTTTACATCTTTTTTTTCTCTTTATTCTTTTACTGTAAATCTGTAAAGCATTTTGAATTGCCCTGGTGTATGAAATGTGCTATACAAACAAAGCTGCCTTACCTTGTCTATTTTTACTTTTTTTTTTTTTACTTGAACTTTTATTGATATGTCTGCAAAAGTGCTTAAACCTGATAAGAAAAGAAATGAAAAAGAGTGGGTTAGGGTTTGTGTGTGTCTCAGTGAGTTGTGGATCTACTGGATAAGTTAGACAAAATAGAAAGAAATATTGATCCATTCATGTTGCTTCTGGAGTCGGTGTCAAGATTCTTGGAAAAGTAGATACCAGAAAGGTGAGAAGCTGCCACCTCTGAAACCACAGTCCCTGTTTCAGCTGGGCTGCGTCCTTCCAGTTTGTTGCTATAAGTCTTTCAGCTGTCATGCATCCAGTGGTTACAATTTGTGTTTGACCAGCATCCTTTTACAGTAGGATTCAAAAGACACACTGTTGGGTCACAGTGAACAGTGGAGCCGATCATTTTTCCCAGGGGAAAAAGGGATTGTGTAACATCACCCCAGAAGGTTTGAATCTTAGGACAAGTCCATACCATATGATAAAAAGTATCTTTAGCTTGCTGAGCCAACAAAGATCAGAGTTGGCTTGTTTTACTGATCTGAATACTCCTTCCACCATGGCAGCTGTGTGGCTCTGCTGCTCTTTTCCTAACACTCCAAAACAAGTGCCATTAAAATATCTGGCCCTCTGATATGAAGTCCTGCCTCCCTCTGGCTGGCTGCAAACTGTAGTGGGGGAGGGTGTGGGGTCAGAAGATTGGTGGAAACACATAAAAATAACTTGAGACACCAGAAAGGAGGGAAAAAAGGAGGAAATAATTGAGTATGGAGGGAGGAAGAGGAGATGAATATATGTGGGAGAGGGTTAAGGTTACCAATACTGCTGCTGCAATCTGTTCAGCTGAGACTCTTGAGCATGACTTTTTCCCTACCAGAGGGACGGAGGGCTTTCAGGAAGGAGATAAGGGAAGTCTGATTCCGGAACAAATTCCTTCCAGTAGGCAACACCACTAAAAAAAAAAAAAAAAAAAAAAAAAAATAGTAAAGCTCTGCTGCTTGTGTGCAGCCTTAATGTGTTTGTGTAAATGTGTTAGGGGACTTTAACTCAGCTGGCTGCTCACAGGCTGAATAACCGAGGTGAACTCAGAGTCACAGTGGGGATCAGTGCTCTATTGACACAGTACCGGAATTTCCCCCAAAATGCCTCGGAAATCCTCCCTGATCGCTCACCAGTTTCGATTTCGTTTATGAGTCTCTAATAGGGTGACTGGAAACCATCGGTAATGTCGGGAATGTCTCCCTCACTGCTCTGAGCCTCTTCCAGGGAAAAGGGGGAGTGGACTCTGATTTTTTTAAGTGTTTGTTACTTTCAATTTTGAGTCGCAGTCTCTCTGGCCATCTTTGGACTCGACCGTTTGTATTACCGTGCATCTCGTTCGTTTACAAGACCCACCGGAGACAATGTTAAGCTATCGCATCTTTGTGGTTTTGTCTTTGAATATTCTGCGTGACCTGAGTATGTCCGTTACTGGCTGTGGTAAGTTTACCGCCTTTGTTGCTGTCTGGGATTTTACTGTCCGCCCTAGAAAGCGCTTCATTCTCCTGCCTAATGATTGATGATGATGATTTTTAAATGTTGTGTTTAGTGTTTTTAGCACTTGTAGTAGAAGTTGGCAGTTATTCATCCCATTGTATGCTTCAGATTTATTATTTATTTTTATTTTTTAATGATTTCTTGGCCAAAATGTGTTACATTCTTTAACAATGGCTTACTATGTAGCCTACATGTATAGTATTATAATATAGTTGTAATTTGTAAAAAAGCATGTTTTAGAGCAGTGGTTCTCAACAGGTGGGTCGTGGTCCAAAAGTGGCCCATTCTAAATGGACCACATGTGTCAAGTTTGTAAAAAAAAAAAAAAAAAAGAGCACACTTTATTTTCAAGTACAGTGAATTTCTATTTTGAAGTGCTTTTTTCTGCTGTACACTGAGTAAAAAGCGGAGAGCTACATGACAGAGACAGCATACTAGCTCAACCACGTGGCCAAACACATGTATGACGCTGAATGAATTAAACTGTGGGACCTCGAACTGATGACTAAGGAGAAATCTAGACCTCATGGCTGGTCCAGTTGGGAACCACAGTGTTAGAACCTCTGTTGTGTAGTGGATAATGTCACACATGTACACACAAGCTGTGGCAGTAGTACTGTAGCCTACATATTCATGGCCATACCAGTAAAGCTATTTTGATTTGGAATGGCCTCACTTTCATTAGTGTAGCTTTTTCACCACTTATCCTTACTGACAGCTTTAAAAGTTATTATGTGGCATTCAGTGTCTTAAAAAACAAGTTGAGCTGTTGATATCACAGGAGAATAGCCACATACCTTAAAGGGGAACTACGCCCGTTTTGGAAATTTATACATGTTATGTGGTCTAAGACAGTACAATATTATATTAATAAACATGGACAGCTCTCTTAAAAATACAAAACCTAGAGTGCTAAAAGTCAAATTTGTGATGTCATAGGGTGTAAAGGCTGGAGCTGCTCCATGGTGAAAGATGTTATAGATGACGCTGAGAGCAGCCAGGGGAGTGTTCTGCATGTTTGGGTACAGTTTCTGTTTTAGAACTGAGAACAGTACAACAGAGTAACACTCATTTAGGTATAAAAAAGAAAACAAAACATGTGGGTCAACAAATTCAGGCTCCCGTTCATTGTCTATGATGCAACTTCAGACTTTACACCTAATGACATCACAAGTTTGGGACCTCTTGTTTGAACTTTCCTTGGCCATAGCAGTAACGTTGGAATTCTTAACTTTGGTGGTGTTCCCCTTTAACCTTATTTATTTATTCAGTGATTGAGTTGAAATGTAGAGGGGCAGATATACGCATCTTTTGAATTATTTTTTTAAGTCAGTTTGCTTTCTTTTCCTTTATTTCTTTCTTTCTTTTCTTTTTCCCTTTCTTGGGGAAAGATGTATGTTGGTGCCCTTTACTTTAGCTACATTCAGTGACAAATCCTAGTACAAGGGTAGACTTAGAGAAATCCCCCTATTTCTTTTATACAGAGTTCAGTCTTTTGAATCACTTAATTGAGCCAATATTAATTTAGTTGTGGTACTAATTATTATATAAAATTAAATAATACAGAAATAAAGAAATGAAAATTGCAAACAAAACAAAATCTTACCCTCCAGGCTTTTTGACCACTTGGGCCCTGGGTAATCAGCTCCACTTTTCCCCCAACTACGCTGCCCTGAGTGTCTGAGCCAAAATAAGTGTTTTGTATACAGACTGTTTGGTTGCCTGGCAAGATGCAGCTTCAGTAACTAAGGAGAACAGAGGAGATTGACTGCTGTTCTATTAATTACATATATTGAATTAACAAACAAAAAAAAACTTTTGGTTTCTTTGAAAGACACGGTGTGTGAAATGACAGTTTTAGATGTTTTAATGATGGATTGTCTAAAACCTCAACCTTTAATGTCTGTGTTACAGATGAGAACTGTGCAGATAAACCTGAGTTCACTCCCTCCATACTGGTTGTCAAGTTTGGCGACTCGACCTCTGCCAGCTGCTCTGCATGTCAGCATGACTGCATAGGCCACATTTTTAAAATTGAAAGCAATTCAGGAAAGACAGAAACAAGCGGGACCATGATTACATGGACGGTCGACAGGCTGACTGAGTGGGACGCATCACCCTTGTGCTACTATACCATTCCTCAAGCCCAGTGTTGTACCACCCTGCCTGTGACTGTCTACAGTAAGTAAACAAAAAACTTGCTGGTGATGATTTAATTTAATTATTTATAATTAACAACGTGTGTACGTTTAGGTGGTTTATATTCTCTCATCTTGTTACTGAATGTGTGTCTGTCTCTCTGTTTGTCTCCACAGAGCCTCCAGACAATGTGTCCATCAGCTTTGATAATCACACTGGGCCAGTGTTTGAGGGTCACCAGTACACTCTGCAGTGTACAGTGGAGGAAATCGCTCCTATTGAAAACCTCACTGTGACTTTTTATAAAGGACAAACAACACTGGGTCAACTTCATTCTGAAAACATCACAGAGAAGAAACCAGTGACTGAGACCTTCACTTTAGACATCACCCCCAGTAAAGAAGATGATGGAGCCCAGTACTGGTGTGAAGCAAAGCTGGAACTGGGACCTGCAGGACCACAGCCCCCTCCAGTGGTGAAGTCACAAAAAATCCCAGTCACTGTGCACTGTGAGTACGACAACACAGAAAAAAGTCAACACACCATAACACCCTTGGTTATCATGTTGGCGTCTTTTGCAGTAACGGAAGAAGTATTTTGACCTTTTACTCAAAGCTAATCAATATGTTTAAAATAGCAATGGATCACATGACTGCTTGGAGGTGAAAGGGGTCACGCATAGTGATGAGCCCACTTGACTCTGCAGACCTCCTCATCTCTACGGACCTCGATAGCTTAGCTCATTGTTTTAGTCTTACGGCCCACAAGTTTTGACTCGGTCTCATCACTTTCATCTGCGTGTTTCGAGTGAAAAAGCTGTTAAAACCCACTGCTCAGTACAAAACAGCAGACAGATAAAATTGGCGACCAACTGGTGAGCATTATTTTTGATATTTTTGTCATGAGTTGGTGAAGACCATAATGTGTATATGAAGACGGATTAGCATCTCCACCTATCCTCATTGTACAAAAATGAAGCCAAAATACCCCGAATACATCCCCTGCCATCTTGTGCTGGTGACATAATTTGGAACCAGCATCTGCACAGTAGCTATCACCTGCCCAAACAAGTCTGACCTATTGCAAGCATACTGATTAGCACATATAGCTGTCAATCACGACTTTAGTCTCCATTTTTTAAACATCAAATTACTCGTTATAACCATACCAAACTAACCAGACTATCACCAAAACGAACACTTGAACACACAGTGCATGATTAAGAACTGAGTTTTTAAGTTTGGCCCATGTCCTATCCACTAATATAGAGGGGCCAAGTTAGCTTCACTTTTGGGGAGCTTTCATGTCGTCCGTCTTTATATATAGTCTATGGTAAAGACCAAAAACAGAGCCAAAAGGAGTGTCAGTTGACCAAACACATGATTACAAATGAGTGTTAATGTCGTGTTGTGTTATCAGCTTAAAAGGTGATAATAGTGTAGTGCAGAAGTCCTGAAAGCCGGAAATGAGTTAGCATGTTAGCACTCATGGTACATTCAGCTCAAAGCACCAGTGTGCCTAAATCCACCTCAGGGAGTCTTAGCTTATCTGAGCACAGTGAGTCTCATAACAATACAGTTCAGTTGTTGCAGTATCTAATATATTAATATGTTTTAAGACATCAGTCTGTAAAGGAACTTTTATAATTATTATAACTACCACTGTTCCTGTAAATAAAGGTAGTCAATTAAAATTTTAAATACTTTCAGTTATGTTTTGAAGTAGAAGCACATAGTAGCAGAAACTGAAAGTGAAGTACATCAGCCTGTAAGGGACAATACTGTAATGAAAGAAATTGGGTGCTTTCCACCACTTCTCTTTTACAATGTGCTGTAGTCATCAGTGGACCATCTGTTTAAGATTTCCAAAAATTCCCCATGCTACTGTGATGACGTATTGTGTTTCTTTCTCAACACACAGATAAGCCTCAAATAGAATCATTACCTCCAGATGAGATCACCATCACAGAAGGAAACCCTCTACAACTGAACTGCTCAGCTGTGGGGAAACCCAGCCCCTCATACACCTGGAAGCTCCCATTAGATAGCCCCTCCCCCTCCAATAGCAGCGTTCTCACTATCAGCTCTGTAACTTTTGCGGATGAAGGGTTGTACACCTGTACCGTCAGTAACAGCAGGGGGACTGTCACTGTGAAGTTTAATGTTGATGTCCAAGGTAAGTTTTTAAGTATTGTCCAGTCTTCAGGGTTGTGACTATTACTGGAAAGTGAGTGCAATGCACCATTGCTTTCAGTGTTTCTTTCTCATAGCATGATTGTAACACGTGACACAGGAAGGAAGTTCATTGTGGCTGTTTTTGTATTTGGTTTTGGTCTGACGTCTAATAATATCTGTTCCTTTTTTCTTTTTCCCCTTACCCAACTCTCTGCAGTCAACATGGGAATCATTACAGCCGTGATAATTGGAGTTTTTGTTCTTGTCATGACCGTCTTGAGCCTTCTTGTTTACTTCTATTGCTACAAACCCAGCCGAGTGGGACAGTACAACCTGAAGGACGTTTTCCGTTTGCACGCACGACACTCCACCGTGCCCTGTGCAGAGTAAGTCTGCGGGAGGACATAAAATGTGTATGGACCTTTGTTGCATCTCTCGCTCCCTCATTTCCTGTTATCTCTCCACTGACACTATCTAATGATATACAGTACCCCAAATTATATCATAAAAATGAGTTGAATTCAAGTTTTAACTTTAACTTTAACTTAACCTCACTACTGAATGGAACAAGTCACCATCTCTCTTTTATCTGCTGTGTTTACAGAAGCTTTATATACAAATACTGGTTTTGTACAAAAACATACAGTAGATCATGTAGTAGTAGCTTACAGAGACATAACTTCATAACTTTATAGAAGCATCATTTGACAGTGATTACAAGCAACTATCCAATATGCCGAGAGGGGATTCCCATTAATGTATGGGGTTTATTTTTATGAAAAATATTTTGTCATAATTGAAAGCAGCTATTCAGTAAATCTACATACATTTAAAGTGCAGTGTTAAAGTCTTACACAGTGTTGCACTGCAACATGTATGTAGCTCAGTTCCTTACAACAAAATTGTGAATATTTCACTTTGTCTAGAGTTACAAGACCAAATCCTCTGTATGTGTGAAGCAAATACAATATTATGGGTCACATCTTCTTTTTTTAAGAGACAGGACTTTTTACCTTATCAATATAGATTTTTCTTGTTCCCACAAAAAGACTAATGACGTGTTGTCCATCTCTCAGTGCATTCCTGCTTTCCTTCCCTGTGTGTAGCACCCAGCCCCAGGTTCATTAGCTCGGGGTTGAGCGTGTAGCAACATTGCTCAAAGGGAAGTTCAAACTGGATTTGTTGGGGACTATTTTCAGCTGTGGATTTATATATATATTTGGCGCACTAGTGAGTATTAAAGACAGCAGGATGTTGTACATGGGTTGGACTCAACACAAACCACAGTGCACCTGTTGACTGTAATGAAGGAACATTGGTGCAACCATTTGACACATGATAGGTTTTTAATAGTTTTGCAGTGGTGGCTAAAAGTTTGGTAGACAGGGTCGTGTAAACGCCACCCTAGGATCTACTTTAGATTTATAATCGTGCTTTTGTGGTACATTTTATGAAACAAATTTGTAACTCGTCAGATTGTTACAAAATCATTTCCACACAGACTTGTGAGGTGTCCTGAGGCAGTTGCCTGTTTTACCTGGTTGGTAATCCAGCCTCGAGTAGGATCAGCTCATTGTTTGTTTCGTCTTTTCATGGGAACTGAATAATGAAAATAGAGACTATCACCAGACTTATCCTTGAACGGATGCACAACCTTGAGTTTGGTAGAGAGCCTCTGGTTCAACAGGTTTAGCAGTAAATATAGAAGTGCTGATATTGTTGCTGTTGTCGTCATTTCAGTGCCTTACTCTGTTTGCATTCCTATAAACTGTCACTTCATTGGTTTTTAGAACGTCAGACAAAGGACTGCAGTTCAACATTAACTAGTTTGCCAGCTCTGGCACATTTACAGAAATGTTGATTAATGTGCGTTGTCCTGAAATACACAAATGTTTTAGTCCAGCTGCAGTTTTATACAGAAACATAGTTGATTATTGAAGTAGAATGCTGGCAGACAAAAGTTTACATTCTATACCAATTGTTTGATATTAGAATATGAATTTATATTAAATGTATACAAGCTAATAATGTAAATTGATGTATGACTGAGAAGTGGAAGTAGTATATAAATAAATAAATAAGTATTTAATTTGAATAATAAAAAAGTTAAATGATAAATTACAACAATCAAATTTAAAAAAAAATGAACCAATTTTATATTTTGTCATTTGCCAAGGGAAATGAGAAACTAAATTTATGTTATGTGGTGCTTATTGGGCCACACTGGTCTGAAACAAGGTGAAGGTGTTGTTTTTGGTTTCTCTCTGTTGTATTTTGGCAGTCTTACTGCAAATGACCTAATAACTTCATTCAGAGATGTGCTGTGTATATATAAAGCTCAATATTATTATGTGAAAATGCTTGCACAGGACTTCACAGCTGTGTGTTTAAACCACTGAAACTTTGAGCCTGACCTCATTCCCGCCCAGCTACTGATGGTGCAAGTTTCTGTGTGCATGTATTTGTAGTGTATATCTTTGTGTATGGTGTATGCATTGTATTCAGAGATGTGCTGTTTATATTTAAAGCACACACACTTTCTGTGTGCGTGTATGTGTGTGTATATTTGTTGTGTACATGTGTGTATGGTGTATGCATCTGTTGTATTGCTGTGCTAGCTTAATGACACTGGAAAAAAAGAACTAGATGCAAGCAAAAACTGTATAAAACTGAACTGCTCACTTTAAGAAAATGCTTTGACCACATTTATTTGAAAATGTAATTAAATTATCACTTTGTACAAACAATGAGATGTTTCCACGTGTCTTTTATTGATATTTTATTGCTTTTTTTTGTTTTAAGATAGTTTTTGGGGGGCTTTTTAGCCTTTGATTGATGGGATGGATGTTGGGTGTGGGGGCGGCGCGCAGCAGGGGGGGGCTGCAGGTTGGAATAGAGCCCACAGCTGCTGCAGCAAGGATATGTAGCCTTTGTGCATGGGGTGCCTGCTCTACCCACTGAGCCACCGGGCGCCCCATTTTATTGCATTTTTAAGCAGTTGCAAATATATGGAAAAAGGTACTGTTAAAACACCACAATATTGATGCAGAAGTACATTAAAAATACTACTTCATCTGCTTTTCCTTTCATAAATAAGTGAACATAAAGTATTACAATCACAGATTGGCCTTAGAGTCCAGTTATCCAATGGAAGAATCCGACCTTGCCTCATACGTGAAGGATTGTCAGACATGCTTACTAAGTCTTACAGTGTGGCTAAATGGCAAGGACAGTACACCCTGAAAGTGCTTATGACACTGGAAGACATATTTCCTGTTTATGATTCCTTAACGCTGAGTTAGCTTGTCTCCTTCTGAACTCTGCAGGCTTTTTGATCTCTGAGGCTTTCATGAGAAAGTCCACCACAAACATTCTGTTCAGGATGGAGCGAGTAAATACATCCCAGAAATATTTCACTGTTTTCCTCCCCTCCATTACTAGGCATACCTCTACTCTGCTACCAGGAAACTTGGAGGAGATGAGGAGAGGAAAGAGGAGGTCATTACTGATGAAGAAACACATTCTCACTCCAAACTCATCAAATACCAGACGGGGTTGGATTAAACACATGCCACAATATGTTATCTGCTCTCTTATCCAGCCAGTGCTCATGTATGTTACAAACTTTCTAAGCATTCTTGGACTAAGCGTGATTTCCTCCTTGTATAGGCATGCATTACCCTGATAGGCCTAAATTTATTTTATGAATCTGAGGCAAGAAAGAGGGCCCATCCTTCATGCCCTAGTACTCTTCATTCATGTATGTAACAGCCCTATCACTGAAAAGGAATCACGGCTTACAGTTTTTGCAAGCTGTCACAGAATATTATGGGTATGTTTACAGCATGATCACAAGCCCATAAAACTAAAACACTTCCAGAGGAAACACCTGTGCATCCTGGCCTGAAAGTCTTGCTGGCACTTCAATGTTTATTTTGGCAAAAGTCCATGCTTGCAATTGCACAAGTGCAGACTTTGGAAAAATATACACTCAATAAAAATCTTCCTAGAGCTCCTCAACACACAGAAAACTGGATCCAGAAAGTCAAATATTGGGCTGAATGAACTATAGCAGTTACATTATAACAATGTGTTTAAATACCCAGTAAAAACTGAATTCTCCACACATTAATCATGCGTGGAGAATACTTGCCTAGATTGAAATTTCTCAAAGATATACATGTAGCCCTAAATGTTGTTTTACATCCTACAGATGATCAGGCACACACTGTTCAAGATAAATAAAATAAATGTTGTTAAAAAAAAAAAAAAAAAGATGTTAAATAATTATTATATCAAATATGTTTTGCTATTCTCTTTTTGTTAAACTATGAACAAAACAGACAAAACAAACACAAACACAGCACAAACAAGAATATCTTCCCTACAAAACACACACCTACACACTGGAGGACAAAAGACAAAAAATACATTGAAAGGTGTGTTTATGTAGTAGGTAGTAGGATATATATCATTTACAAGATATAAAAAAGATTGACACTGTACACCTGGTCAATTCAAGAAAGACTTACTACAGTATCATATTATCAGTGGTGGAAGAAGCAGTCAGATCTTTCACTTTGATAACAGTAGCAATACTACAGTGTAGAAATACTGTTACAAGTTAAAGTCCTGCAATCAAAATCTTACTCAGGTATAAGTACAAATATAGGCATCTTAAAATAATAAAAGTAAGAATAGGTTATGCAGAATGGCCCATTTCAGAATAATGTTTATTACATTATTGGATTGTAGGGGAGCGCGGGGCACAACACAGGGTAAATGGTAACATGGACTTTTTATGTGGTTACACAGGGTCGATCCTTTCACGCCTTCAACCAGTTGACCTACCACCAAACAGTGACCCGCAAAATTCCACAGAGATGGGACGTGCTTCAGCTGGGTTCACTAACAAAGAGTGTTTTCAGCTGACATAAGTACATTTCATTGTCATACTTGTTTTTCGATTACACAGAATCCAATCATATATCTTCTTAACAACTGTCTCATTGCCTTAAACACAGCACCATTTTGAACTATGTAACCAACTCCCAGCAGGGGAAATTTCCACCCCATGGGGTTAGTTGTAACACAGTGGTAATACTAAGCCTCCTATAGCACATTTTCACATCCTTGATTTAATGAGATATACTTTGTATTTTTAATGTGTACGCTACCTTATTGACATAGTGTCACAGTCTTGTCAAAATTAAAATATTCAATACTTACATTTTGACATGTGGATCAAGGTTGCCCATTCCATGTACAGTACATCTATCAGTCCAACCACTGGACACAGATGGATAGATACCTATCCTTTCCCAGATGTAGATGGAGACCTACAGTATATAGATAGAATTTTATTGAATTAATTGTGTTAAACAGACTTTTCCAGCAAGTGTTACAATTAACCCTCTGCCTGTTACAGTTCACCCCACCCTTGGGGTATGTTAAAACATTTCACTTCCACCACATCTTAGTGCAATTGTAGAAGAAAGGTAAGCTCTAGGGAAAAAAACAGCAACTGTTTCTTTGTAGCAGAGATGTGCATGTTGTTAGAATAAAAAAAATAAAAAAATAAAAATCTCACACAGTTTTAATAACATTCAGCCCAAACTAAACTGTGTTAGCTTGTACCCCGCTCTCCCCTACTTACTAGTGTGGTCATGTGTTTATTACTTTTAACTAGGCAACTTCATATACCCTTTATATATAAGGTGTATTACAGGTTAAAATACCCAGCCTATTGGGTAGCACACCATAATATTAAAAATATTTTGTTTCAATAATCTGAATCAGTAAAATAATAAGTGGCCCACTAAAGCTATCAAATAACATAGTGGAGTAAACATGCAGCATTTTTCTCTGCAATGTAACGTTAGTAGAGCAGAAAATAGAATTAGTAAAGTGGCCTACAAGTATCCAAAAACAAATGTACAAGCCTACTTAGGCACAGTGCTCGATAAATGTGCTTAGTTACATTCCACTACTGCAAATTATTAATGTTTTTGTCATTATAATTGCAGCTAATAGATGCTGATTGATCGATATGAACAACCCGACTGGCACGCTTCATGATGACGTCTACTGATTGGATTCCGGGCGCGCGGAGCTGCCGCTAAAGAGGGGATATCTGTAAACGGCTTGTGGCTGCCTGTGCCGTTAAGAGGATTATAAACTGTCAATGTCCGTCTTGTTTGCTGCCGTCTTGTCAGTACAGTGCCCCTGTTGAATCCGCTGTCTCCTTCTCCTGTAGCTGAAACGGAAAACCCGAGGATAGGGGGGGCAGAAGGAGCCGTGAATATGAGCACCGGAGCGGGCATCGACTACAGCGCCTGGGACCACATCTATGTGTCGGATGATGAAGACGTTACCAGTCCGTTCGTGGACACACCGAGCTTGTTCAGAATGAGACACCGGGTCAGCAGAGAAACTTGTGGTAGCCGTGAACTTTGGAGTCGTATACCTGGTTAGTTTGACCAGTAGAAGTGAGTTAACTTAGTAAATGATAACCAGAGGTAGCCATATAGACGGCGAGGTGACCAACAGGTGTTACACAGAAATCTGTGACCCGTCAGATTGTGTGACGCTAAAGGGTCTGCTAGCTAAAAACTAGCTAGTAAACTTTATGTAGCCGTTAGCACCTTTTTAAAAACAACAAGGACAAAGGAATTAAAAGTGAGAAGAAAAGTAAAAAAAGATGGTGAAGGAAGAGACACTGTACGCATTAGGCTGTATGAAAACAGGCAAAATTAAGTGTGTAAGCCATAAATTAATAGTTGTAAAATCAAGAGAAAGCCAAAGAAAACACCAGAAAAAAAATGTGACCACATCTATGTGATTACAGTGTTTGCTAACAGCTATCAACATTGTCCAAACTTTATGTGTAGGAATCGATGACTAATCGGTGACTACTTTAGTAGTCGTCTAAATTTGAGTCATTTTTCCCAGAAAAGTACTATAAAAATACCCCAAAATACTCCTATTGCAGCTTCTTATGTTCAAATATTGGCAGCTTTACACACTCTCCCATGATAGTTAACTAAAACCCTTTGGCATGAGTACGAAACAAGACATTAGATGTCATAATTTTGGGGTTTGGGAGAGACAGACTGACATTTTTCAACATTTTAACACATTTTTCAATAAAATGATTAGTCGACTAATCGCAGAAATAATCGTCAGATTAGTCAACAATAAAAATAATCGTTAGTTGCAGCCCTACCCTATTACCATTTGGTTTTGAGTTAGAGTGCAAAGGTTCACGCTCAACCCTGGAAAAACCACTTACTAGCTTCTTTCCAGAGCTTACAGCCACATCACAAGGCCTTCGTCTAGGCCTTTTCCAGAGCTTTCCATCACATCTCTCAGACATACAGTCTGAGACGCAGTAAAAAGCTCTGGATAAAGCTGAGATTATGTAGATAAGTTAAGATTATCAAAATGATCTGTGTTGCCATCAGTTTGTAAATCAGACAACTGACAAGTTCATTTTTCAACATTAAAATCTTCCTGCATCCATATCACAACAACCAAGCCTTAAGTTTTTAGTTAAAAATGAATATTTGCCGATGTATCATACAATTTTTTTTTTAAACCCTGAGATATTGAGCGTCAAAAGTCAAGCATCAGTTAGACTCTAGAAACAGTACAGACAGTACATGCATTTTCTTTCTTTTCTCCTATTTTGCTAATTGTCTCAAGACCCCACACATTTATCTTGCAATCTCTTAGGGCGTCTCAACCC